AAAAAAAACTACTTATAATAATTTAATTTAAAAATTTAAAAAAAAAAAAAAAAAAAAAAAAAAAAAATAAAATAATAAAATAAAAAAAAAAAAAAAAAATGAAAGTTTTTATGAAAATTTTATTTTAATAATTTTTAAGAATAAAAATAATAAAAAAAAAATTAAAAACTACTTATAATAATTTAATTTAAAAATTTAAAAAAAAAAAAAAAAAAAAAGAAAAAAATTAAATATACTCATTTATTTAATTAAATAATTTTACCAATTAAAATTTTTATACTTAAATAGTTATAAGTCTAAATAAGGATGCTTTGAATCTAAAATTTCATATTTCTTTTGTGATAAATTATAAACTAAATCTATGAAAAAAAAATATATATATTATTGTGTAAATTTTTATTTAAAACTTATTCAAGTTTTATGTATTTTTTATTAATATATTAAATATATATATATTAATTGTTACAAATTAGGATAAAAAGATTAACAAAATGGATAAACAAATGAGTAAAATGCCTACAAAAAAAAAAAAAAAAAAAAAAAAGATTTATATATTATGTAGTAATATATATACTTCTATATTCATAAATATAAAATTAAGAATATTTTATTAAATATTAATATATAATATAGTTTTAGATAATTTTTTAAAAAATAAAATTTATTTAAACATTTTTTCTTTAAATTTATATTCTCTTTATTTACAATGAAGAATTTTTCATAAAAAAATAATGAACAGGTATTGATAATATCCATATGTTATATCTATAAAAAAAAAAAATATATATATATACAAGATATATAAAAAAGGAAGTTATTTAAGTATACAATCATTTAGCTTAGTTTTAATAGATTTTTTTTTTGATGTGTTATATTTTTTTATTCTAACAAAAGTGTATCAAAAAGAATGAAAAATTTTTCATTTAAATCTTTTTTTTCTTTTAAAAGTTTATTTCCATTTATATAAATTAATACTGAAAAAAATAAATTAATAATATTTAATATAATAATAATAATAATATTAATAACAGTATTTATAATAAAAAAAATGCTAATATTAAAATAGTAATGGAAGATATATGCAAATATATATATCTATAAGAAACAAATTATATATTATTTTTTATAATTTAATAAAAACAAATTGTTTATTAATATACTTGCAACAATGATTCTGTTCACAATAAAAGGGAAACCTATAGCTATAAAAAAAAAAAAAAAATTTTATTATGCGTCTATATAAATGATTATTATAAAAGTAATAAAATTTTTTTGCAATTGGAAATTTTTTTTTGTCTTTTTTTTTTTTTTTTTTTTATTTGATATAATTATTACCAGAATGTAATGTGGAATATAAATTTAAATCTTGATGATTTTGTATTTCAAATAATATATAAATGAATTTTAATATTGAATATGTAAAAGATAACTTAAAAGTTTCTTCAAATTTTTTATTATTGTTTTTATTATACATATAAAATATTATTGTAATTATAAAACAATCAAATATAGATTCATATATTTGGCTTAGCACTTTGAGAATACTAAATCCAGAACCATTGGAAGCATAAGAAATTAAATGAATAGAATAAAATAAATTAGAAAAAAAGAAAAATAGAAATGCACAATTAATAGATTCTCCTAATGTGCTATTTATTTGAGTTAATTTTTCTCTTTTTCTAAAGTATACTAAAGATAATACAATTAATATAACAGTTAATAGCATATGTATTTCAATTAAACCTACATAAGTATAATATATATATAAAAGAATTATAATAAAATTTTAAAAAAAAATACATAATAAAGTTAATATATGTTTCTACTATAAGAAAAGTGTGATTCTATACCTTGCTCTTCGCATGAAAAATGATTTTTTAAAAAATTAATATTATTTCTAAACTCTATTTTGAAAGCATTTTTAATCTTATTTCCACAATTAATTAAAATAAAATTTAAATATTTTTCTGTTAATTCTTGGTCTATATTTGTTTCATATATAAAATAAGACGAATTTAAAAATTCAGATGGAATGTCTTTGAATGAATGTGTAAATAAAGCTTCTTTCTCTAAGTCTTCACATTTTTTTCCTTTTTTATTTTTTGCATAATTATATATTTCATCATCTGTTTTATCCAATATTAGAAGCTTAGAATTAGGTATGAATAAATTAGACAGTATCAAAATTCCCTTTTTCGAACTTTTTGAATAACAAAAATTAGAAAATTTACTAATATTTTCATCATCATATAACCCATATATAACTTTAGAAGAAACAAAAAAATTATTCAGATTTATTCTTTTTAATAAGGAATTGTGAAATTCTACCCGCATTTTTTTCACATATAGTAGTACTGATAAAAAAAAATTATTTTTATATTTTTTAGTATATGGGAAAATGCTTACAAACGGAATTTTTTCCACTTCCTTTTTTATGAACTTTTCTTCTAAATTTGTGAAGTATAAGAAAAGAAACAAAAAAGTGATTAATCTTTTTTTTTTTAATATTCTTCTAATCATGTTATAAAAAAAATTATAGAAGGAAAGTAAAATACAAAATAATTGAGTTAATTTTTTTTTTTTTTTTTTTTTTTTTTATATAAATATATAATCGATTTTATTTTCAAACAAAAGATATTATAAAAAAAAGAATGAATGTGTAACATAAATAAATATGTATTTATTATAGCGTGAACTATTATGGTAATTTTTGGTATTTTAGACTACAAAAAAAATAATAAAGATAATATTTTTTTATTTTTTTTTTTTTTTTTTTTTTTCTTTTTATATATCTAATATTTTTTTATATTACACAAAAAAATATATATATAATTTTTCTTTTTTTTTTTTTTCCTCTATTTTTAATTTCATGCATAAATTTTTTCTACAAAAAAAAAAAAAAATATAATTTATAAGTTAATATTTCTAAATAGATAAAATTTCATTAAAACTTCTGAAAACAAAAAAAAAAATTTCATTAGGAAAATACTCAATAATATCTTTTTTTTAATTTAATTTTTATAAAAATATTATTCCTTCTTAATTATTTTTAATTTTAAAAAAAAAAAAAAAAAAGAAAGAATATAAGTAAAATAAATAACGTAACAAAAAATAAAAATTATATTTTAAAGCATTTAAGCAAATAATATCATAATGAATATGAAAAAAAAAAAAAAAGAATTAAATTCAAAAATGTAGGAATGATATCAAAGGACATGGTGTATATATGTGTAAAATATAGTACATAATGGAAATGTAAAATGAAAATAAAAAGAATTATAAATATGTATATAATAAAGGAGCGTAATTTTTAATTAAATAATTTAGTATAAATGAAGAAAAATGAACAATAAAATTGATTTCTGCCACATACATATATATTACTAGAAAAAATTAAAATTTAAGACTAAAATATTTACATTGAATAATTTTAATAACAATTATTTAAATTATATAAATCTAAAAATAAATTTTTCATAATAAACTAATATATAAGGTATTAAAATAATAAAAAAAAAATTATTTTATTATTTAAAATTTATTTATTTTTCTTCTTTTTTTTTTCTTTTTTTACAGTAATTCTGTTATGTTCATAGGCATTTCATCAATCTGCGTGGAATAATATTGTTCAATATCTCTTAAAATTTTTATATCATCATTTTTTACAAAATTAATAGCAACCCCTTTTCTTCCAAATCTTCCACTTCTACCAATTCTGTGAATATAACTTTCTCTTGAATTCGGTAAATCATAATTAACAACTAATGAAACTTCTTGTACATCTAAACCTCTTCCCCATATATCTGTCGATATTAAAACGCGAAATTTACATTGTCTAAATTTCAACATAATATCATCTCTTTCACTTTGACTCATTCCTGCATGCATTTTACACACAGTAAAATTTGATTCTAGCATTTTTTTTGTTAACCAATCTACTTTTAGTTTAGTATTGCAAAATACGACAGCCTGTGTAATAGTTAAACTTTCATATAAATCTGCCAAGGTTTCATATTTCCATTGTTCTTTTTCAATTGATACAAAAAATTGTTTAATACCTTCTAAAGTTAATTCATCTCTTTTAACTAAAATTTTCACAGGTTTATGCATAAATTTATTAGTTATTTCTAATACTTCTTGTGGTAAAGTAGCTGAGGATAATATAATCTGAGTATTGGGAGATAAAAATCTATAAATATCATACACTTGTTCTTTAAATCCTTTATTTAACATTTCATCTGCTTCATCTATAACTAACTGTTTAATATATTTGCACTTTAAATGTCTTAAATTAAGCATATGGTATATTCTTCCTGGAGTTCCACTAATAATATGAACACCATTATTTAATGCTTTTATATCATCACTAATTTTTTTTCCTCCAATACAACAATAAATAGTTACATGAATATAATCAGCTAAAGCTAAACATACTTTCTGTGTTTGTTCTGCTAATTCTCTAGTTGGGGATAAAATAATTACTTGTGTTTCATTTAAATTTCTGTTAACACAATTCAAAGCACCCAATGCAAAAACACACGTCTTCCCTGTTCCACTTTGACTCTGTAAAATAACATCTCTTCCACTTAAAATTGGTTTTATACCTCTTTGCTGAATTGCTGATGGTTTTTCAAATCCATATGCATAAATTCCTCTTAATAAACCTTCATCAATTCCTATATTTTCAAAACTCGTGCATATTTCATACTTTTCAGAAGATTTATAATAATCATCCTTTTCCATGTTTTTTTTTTATACTCTTCAAATAAACATAAGAAAAATAAAAAAAACTTATAAATAATTTTTAAAATATATACTTAATTAAAAAAACAAAAATTCCTGAAACTTTATAACATATATTTTTATGCTTATATAGTATTGTAGTCAATATCTAAATTATATTATTAAACATGAAAATGTTCCTATATTTTGTAAATGTTTTACTAACTTCACCTTCAAAACATATATTAGTTCTTATATATATATACTATATTTCTAAATTTATTTTTCTACATATTTCTTCTTTTTTATTATATATATATTTTACAATTTATTTACATATTTTATTTTATTACTTTTTATATGATTAATAAACAAAAAAAAAAAAAAAAAAAAAAAATTCTAATAACTTATATATATATTTTTCAAATTAAGAAATTTTTTACTTTATTTTTCTTCATAATATTCCTTTTTTATTTATATATTTTTTCTAAATTTTTTTATTTCTTTTAAACAAATACCCTGAAAATTTATATTATTCCAAATGTTTTATATATTATTATGAAGAAAAAAAAAAAAGAAAGAAAAGAAAAGAAAAACAAATTATATGTTGTATATTATTATACTTCCGTTTTTTTCTAAAATTATATATTTGTAATATACTTAAAATCCTTTATATATGTAGCTAATATATATATGTATAAGCCTCTGTGGTATTACAATTAAAATTGTTAAAAAGGTTATATAAAAAAAATAAAAAATATAATTTTATCATGTTATCTTAAATATTCATCTCAATTTTTTTAATAATACTTTAATTCAAATTATTCTTTTCTGATAAATATTATAAAATTTTTTATATATTAGAGAAATAAAAAAAAATTTGCATATAAATTTTAAAAATTAAAAAAAAAAAGAAATTAATTTTATAAAATTTTTTGTAAAATTAAAAAGATCCTATAATTAACATAAATGTATATGTATATATTTTTTTTTATTTATTTAATTTCTTATTTTGTATATAAAATTTTTATTGTTTTTAAAAAATACATGCTGAGAAAATTTAATTTCTTTTTCTAATCAAAATTTTTTTTTCTTTTTTTTCATAAAATAATTCTGTTTTATATATATATATATTATTATTTTAAGTAATTCATTTCTTAATTTTATCATTAACAAATATATTATTTTTAAGTAATATTTTTTATAGTTTTGTGAATCATTAAATATTTTTTTGTAACAAAATATATCCCTTTTATCTTAAAATATATTTATGCACAGTTAATGTATTTATGTTATTATTTAAATTATACTTTAACTTATTTTTATGAACAAAAAATAAAATATTAATTTGTGTAATTTTTTTTTTTTTTTTTTCTTTAAACTATTTATGTAATCTTCTGTTTTTATTTTTTATTCTTCTTCTTTTTTTTTTTTTTTAATTTGATTGAATTAATATGGCTTTAACTACTGATTATTCTAAATTAAGTGATATTGTTTATGAAGTTTTGGATTCTCCTTCTATATACAATAAAGAAAAATATTTTAAACAAAAACAAAATGACAATTATTATGATATAAAAAAATTTATGTGTATAGGTAGTACTATTAATGACAATGCAAATTTTGAAGAATTAGATAAAATATTAAAAGAAGGAAATAAAAAATGTCAGAATACCTTAACAGAATCATATAAATTACAAGGTTATAAATATAGTATATCGAATAACAATGATAATATAAAGTTTACAAAATTATTTTTTGATAACTACGCTAATTTATTCTATTGTATGCATTTACATAATGATGATAAAAAATGCAATCCTTTATTTAAACATTTTTATGAGACAATAAATTATGATAAAATAAATAAAAAATAATTAAATCATATAACAACTTTACATTTATTAAAAAGTTTTAAAAATATATATGTATATTTTTTTTTTTTATATAATTTTTCCATTTTAAAAATAATATATGCTTTATTTTTGTTATCTCTTTAATAAAGTTATAAATAACACTTTTTTTTTTTTTTTTTATTTTTTGTTAAAATATAAATGAAAGTAAATTATATTATCTTTATTATTTATACACACACATAAAAGTAAATTCTTCACATTTTTATCCATTATGTGATAAGAGATCTTTATGGCCAATTTGGCTTTTATTAATTTTTTTTTTTTTTTTTTTTTTTATAAATATTCAAATAACTTTTTCATTATTTAAAATAAAAGAATTTTTTTTATTTAAAACAATTGTAAAATAAAAATTTTTAAGTATTCTAAGAATGATTGTTTTATTATAACAAAAAAATTAAATAATAAATATGTAAGAATAAATGCTATAAATTACCCTATGCTTAATAATTAAAAAAGAAAATGATATAATAAATAAAAAAACATTTTTTTTTTTTTTTTTTTTTTCTATTTCTTTTTTAATATTTATTAAAATTAACACTATTTAAATAAGAAGAACTTTTATAAAAAGGAATTTATATATATATATATATTTATTATAATAATTTTAGAATGAGAAGAATTAATCTTTTTGTTAATTATTCTTCTACATTAATTTGAAATTCATATTCTTGATCACAACCAATATAAGAATCATTTATTACATAAATTACAATATCATAAAGATTTGGTTTATCAGGTAATTCGAAATTTATTTTGATATTATTAATTGATTTTAGCAAAGATATTTTTTTAATTGATAAAAGCAAATTCATTTTTTTAATACCTACAACTATCCACCACATTTCTTCCTTCTCAAAAGGTAAAAACAAAGAATGAGCAAAATTAATTGCATCATCTGTTAGATCTCTTTCAATTGATAAATTTAATTGAGCAATTTCATTCACCTTGTACGATCTATTTAAATCAATTTCATATTGAACTTCTATTATAGGAAAGATATTACACACATTGGCTATTTCACTTTTTTGATTGTCATTTAAATGCTTTAATAAAATATCTCTTTTATCATCTTCTGCATTAATTAGGTCATAAACATCCATTATTCCTACATCTTTTGCATTTTTTACTAGATCAGCATCAAAGTATGGCAATTGGTACAAGTTAGATTCTTCTGTACTTTTTAAACTTTGAGTTAATAATTGAGAAACTTCCATTACAAAAAGACAAAAGTTCAAAATATTATTACTACTTATAACATCAATTAATGAATTAATTAATTTAAATGTTTTTAATAAAATATTTTTAGTTTCTTCAATATAATTTACAGGTATGCTGTATCTATTTATGTGTGCATGTAAAATTATTAAGGCTTTTAAATTAGCTGTGAAATATGTCGGAACAGCAATAAAATTTAATAAATTAATATAATGATCTTTTTTATTTTCTTCAGATTTGTCAGTTTCCTTATTATTACCATCCTCATTTTTTAAAAAATTTTCATAATTTAAAGATAACTTTAAAAATTCATACGTAACTTCAATATTGCAATTTTTAGCTATTTTTAAGCATAAATATATATCGTATGTGTTAATTTTCAAAATATCATTGAAAATGTTGGATAAACATACTATTTCAAAAATTTTACTTTTTTTTAATGTTTTTAATGACAATATGTATTGATTAAAAAATTGAATAGTGTGATAATCTATATTGTAAAAAGAAGATATAATACCTAAATTATATGGTTTTATATTCATAGTCTGTTCTTCAATATGTATACAATTAGCAAAAGATAATAATTCCATGTTATTTTCAATTAATTCAGATAAGTAATCAGATATATGTTCATTTGATATACCTTTTAAACCATAGTAATTAGGATTTTTTTTAATTCTTCTATAAAAAAAAGACCATGTTAACCAATCAATAGCATCTTGAAAATTTTCAATTGTACTCATTACTATTTCATTATTTAAAAAATTTGGTAAATAATCCTCAATGTTTGATTCTACAGTTAATGGTTCATAAATAAAATTTTTGTAATACTCCTTTTTTGTTACATATGTATAGATGTAAACATATGATTTTACATCTTCATTTTCCCTCCCAGCATAACTTATCATTTCTAATATATTTTGAATAGAATAATCCTCTTCTTTATTATTAAAATGAGTTATTATTGTGTCTAATATGATAATATTATTACCATATGCATTTAAACTATAGATGTAATCATAACAAACTATTAAAATTTGTATCGCCTTTTTATCAAATAGCATCTCCACTATTTTTCTTTCTATTTCTGTCATATTGTTATGCAAATAGCATATACCTTTTTTCATAAATTCTACAAGCATTTTATCATATATATAATCAAATATATCTTCCCTTTTTGATTCAATTTTTGACCCTTCATACGTTTCTTTTATTGTTTTGTTTTGTTTTTTATTACAATATTTTTTCAAATTATCTATTTCTGACATGTTATTCTCAATTATTTCTTGAATATTCAAATTTCTTTCTTTTTTTAAGGAATGAAGTTCAGCTTCATAAAATTCATTGTTATTCATATAATCACTCTTTTTGTCAAAATTATCTTCTTCTCTTTTATTAGATGTTTCGTAATTTTGAAAAATAGAATAAAAATTATAATTATCGTTATATGCAGATAAAATTAAATCTAAAGCTAAGGTTTTACACAATTTTGGCTCTGTAACAAATATAATTACATTTTTTTTTTTTTTTAACTTTCTTATATTTTGATATACTTGCCTTTGCATAGATATATATCTATTTTGCTTATTCATTATATTAACTGCGTGTAAATATATTTCTATTGGGATATTTCTAACTGTTGACAAAAAGTTATAATAATCATTTTTTTTGCACCCAATCCATTCAGAGAAATCTTTACAGTTATATAAAGAACAACTAGATAAACATAAAATTCTATTTAAACCTATATTATCATATATATTATCAATATTCAAATTTTGTAATTTATTTATGTTTTGAATAATGTTTTCTTCATCTTCTCCTATATGTAATTCCTCAAGAGATAAAATATTATCATTCGTTTTACTACTTTTTGTTTGAGATTTATTTAATTGTAATTGTGTTGATATATATCTTATTCTACTGATTACTATTTCCATTATAGCTCCACTTGGTGTATCTAATAATTCAATATGATCAAAAATATATAAATTAACATTTTGTAAAATTTTTTTTCTTCTCCACTTTTTAGAAATATTATCATATTTATCTGGCGTACATAAAACAATATTATTTTTTTGCAATAGTTTCATATCTACTTGAATATCTCCACTTAAAATACACATTGATAAATTAAATGTATTTTTAAAAGATATCCAATTTTTGTATGTTTTTAAAACAATCTCTTCAAGTGGAGCAATATAGACTACTTTAACAAGTTCTAAAGGATTATTATAAATAATATCTGTTAGCTTTTTATCATTAATTATTTTCAACAAATCTTCTTCTTTTTTAATATATTTTTTAATATAACTATTTAATTCAAATAAAAATTTTATCATTTTTATAATCGCAAGTTCCACTGGTATTAAATAGTATTTTGAGGTAGAACTGCATATAATAACATTTCCTTTATTTTCGTAAACTGATGAAAAAATTTGAGTGTTAATTGGACTAAAATATTCTATATTTCTATTTAAAAAGAATCTTTTTGCTAAATCAAATTTTAGCGAATTTATTGGTAGTGGCTGTAGGTCTAATAACTGAGTGGAATAAAAATTTTTCGATGGTAAAATTAAATCATTAAGGTATAAATTAATGGTGCATTCACATTCTAGCCATTTATCTGAAATAACCTTAACTATATAAAATGGATTTTCGTTTATAGGTAAATAAAAAGTTAGTAAATGTTCATCTAAACTATCAGAATACAAATCTTTTTCTTCTTTACCAGTTAACAAATTACTTTTATAATTTTTTTTTAAAGTAAATAAATCATAATGTAATATATTTTCGTTAGATATATCAAACACAAATACCCAAAACAACATAAAATAGCCATGATATTTAGGATTATATATAAAATCAGGTGTTATATTTAACTCTACTTTTAAAATTTTATGGTTAATTGGTTGTATATATGCATTTAATTCAATTTTTGGGAAATGATGAACTAATTTATAGATATTTTTTGCAATTTTTTTATTTTTAAAAATTGTTATATACTCATTTAAATTCATAGATATATAATTCTTGAAACTTATATTTTTTTTTTCAATAATTCGAATTAATTCATTACTTAATAAACCAAACTGCCTTAATGGGGTCATAGTACTCCACATTCTCCTTTCAATCATCTTAGCAAATTTCAAAGTTAATGAAATTAAATTATAAGAATTTTTTTTCAAGGATATTTCAAAAAAGGAACGAAAAATACGCAATGCATTTTGATGAATGTATACTAAATCGGCATTAATTATATAACCACTTAAAGTTATATTTGATAAATATAATTGTAAAAGTATATTTATCTTTGTAAAAGGAATATTAATAGATTCCTTTACTGGTATAGGCAATTTTTCCATAAGTATTGATAACTCTACTTTTTCTTCTTCTCGAATATATATATTCTTAAATTCCTCACTCATTGTGAATATTTTTAGTAAATCAATTTCATTAGTATATTTACTTAATTTTTTGTTATACAAATCTATTGATTTATAATCTATATAATAGTAACTACTAATTTTACCTATGTAGGTACTACTTACACTATTTAATTTTTTATTATATTTTATTAAATCATATTTTTCTAGTATTAAAAAAGACGAATAAATAATGTTACAAATTCTTTTATTTATTTTTTGCATTAACATGTCATAATTATCTTTATTATTTAAATATTCATGAGTATTGTATTTATCACTGACTGTAACACCATATAATGACGGATTTTTTATCATACGTATGTGCATATATGTATACTTAAACCAATTAATAGCATCTTTAAAATTTTGTATATTTTTTAAAACAATTTCAGCATTTATTACATTCACAATGTTACTTGATAATGTAGATTCAATATATAATTGCTCATTATTTAAAGATAGGTACAACTGTAAATTTTTATGATCGGTAATAATTATAGCCTTACCACTTTTATCATACTGTGGTCTTCCTGATCTTCCAACCATTTGTAATATATCCATGGGTGATAATTCATCAAAATCCCCTATGTTAATATTATATACACTTGTTCCTTTTATAATAACTGTATGTGCAGGTAAATTAATACCCCATGCTAATGTACTAGTGGAAACTAAAACTTGTAGATGCCTATCAGAAAATAAATCTTCCACTAACTTTCTATCAGTTCTTTTTAATCCTGCATGATGTATACCAAAACCAAAAGGAAGAATTTCTTTTAATTCATCATTAACTATGGCTTCTTTTTCTGATAAAAGAATTTCTGTAGATATTTTTTTATCAATTAAAAATTTGCTTAGATTATCACTTTTCATAAATTTGTCAATTAATATTTTTGCAGTTCTATACGTTTCTTTTCTGCTATGAACAAAAATTAATATCTGATTTTTTCCTGCTTCTTCTAATACTTTTTCATATGTTAACTCATTCATTAATGCATACTTTTTTATTCCTTTTTTTTCTTTTATTCCAATATAGTACTGCTCTAGTTGAACTGGTCTAAAAGAATAATCAAAATAAAAAACTCCCTTACGTAAATCTGCTCTCAGAAATAATCCTACATCTTCATAATTAGGCAATGTAGCTGATAAGCCAACTAATCGTATTTTTTTTTTTTGCATAATCATGTTATTATCCTTATTATCAAAAGAATTCTTTTCTTTGCTAAAGGTATTATTTTCTTCTGAAGCCTGATCATATATCAACGTATTATCTATATATCTATTTATACGTGTTATGATACTTTCCAAAATATTTCCTCTACTTTCATTAAGCAAATGAATTTCATCAAATATAATTAATTTTATTTTTTGTAATAATATTTTTTCATTCCATTTACGACTTATAATTTCAAATTTTTCTGGTGTCATTACAATAATTTGGCTATCATCTATTTCTTTACTACTTAAATGAACATCTCCTGTTAATTCACTTACTTTTATATTTAGACATTTTAATCTCAAATTAAAAGATTGAACTTGTTCATTAACTAAAGCTTTCATAGGGGATATATATATTATTTTAAAATTCTTTCTATCAATATTTCCACTTTTTAATCTATAATTATTAATAACATTTAATATACATAGCAAAGCAATATTAGTTTTTCCTGATCCTGTTGGTGCACAAATTAACATATTTTCTTCATATTTATTAAATGCTATATTATATACTTTTGATTGTATTGCATTTAATTTATTTATATTAACACATGTAAAAATTTCATGAGTCCATTCAGGCAATTCATTAATAGAAATCAATTTTACTTCATCTGGACATGTGTAATAATTATATTTATTATTTTTCTTTTTATTAGAATTTCCATTATTATCCTTCATACTAGTAATTATAATTTCATCATAATCCTTATTTTCTATTCTTTTACTATCTGATGGTAATATAACTTCTTTATTAAAAAAATCATTATTTTTTTGTTTTATTTCCATTTTTTCTAAATCTATATATTTTCCTTTAAAATTATCCAGATATGAATCTGATATTTTTTTATTTTTCTTCCCTTTTTTTATATCAACATTTAAATCTAGATTATCAGATTTATGCTGATTACTTTTTTTTTTCTTTTTTTCATTATCTTCTTCATCTTCATCCTCATCCTCCTCATCCTCCTCATCATCTTCATCATCATCATCATCATCATCATCATCATATTCATCATCATCTTCATTCATCTCTTTGTCATCTTTATCCCCCATTTCAGAGTTATAAAAATTCGGATTTAATTTATCTTCCTCTTCTCTATCCCTTACTTCGTCATCATCATGTATTACCTTTTGTTCTAAAAATGAATTTTTTTTATCATTTTCATATCTTTTCTTATTAAATAAATTATCTGCTTCTTTTCTCATTGTTTTTGCAAATTCACTTTGCTTATTCTTTTTTACATTTTTAAAATTTTTGAGTTCTTCTAATATTTCTTCTCCTTCTTCTGTTTTATTCATTTGTTCCATTATTTCATTTTTTTCTTTTTCTGTTTGTGCCTGACCTAATAAAGTGCAATAATAAATTTTCCATCTATTTTTGATCAACAATTTAGCAATAGAAAAATTTTCATATTTTAATATATTAACAAGTTTATTTTCACATTCTTGTATATCATATATTTTTAAAATATTTAACACTTCTTTTTCTTTCTCTAAGCATAAGGATGGATCAGTGAATATTTTATTTAATTCTCTCTGTAACCAATGAGCATCAATTGAATTGGTATCTAAATCATAACTTTCTAAATCTTTATTTTTATAATTGAAATCTTTATTAACATTTTTTAAACTTAAATGATTTTCAAATTTTTTTTTTTTTTTTTTAATATACATAATTTCTTTTTCTTTTTTTTTTTTTCTTTTTTCTATATCATCATTAACATTTTGATCACTATCATTTTCTTTATCATCTTTATTTTTATTTTCTTTATGTTTATATTTTGTCTTTTTTTTTTTTTCTTCTTCTTCATCAGTTCTTTCTTCTTCACTATCATTTATACCTTTGCTTCCTTTTTCACTCATCTCATCATCATCTTCTTCACTATCTTCTTCTTCTTCTTCTTCTTCATCTTCTTCTTCATCTTCATCTTCTTCCTCTTCTTCATTATCATCACTTAACTCATTTATATCACTTAAATCATCTCTTTTTTCATTTATATCTTTTCTTCCTTTTCTCATATCATAATAATCATCCTCTTCCTCAAAAACAACAGCAACACCTTCTTCATTTTCAATATCTTCATTTTCTTCTTTTTTATTAAAATCATATATTTCCTTAGATAAATTGTTTAACTCTATAAATTTTTCGTCAGTTATATTAACCTCTAATGCATTTTCTACTTCTTTTTTTTTTTCTTCATCATTTAAATTATCACTTTTTAAAATATATATTATTTCGTTACATGCACTGTTAATAATATCACCAGTATTATCACCAATCATATTTCTAACATTACTCAGTATTTTACTAAATATTTGTTCAGTGTATTTAGTAGTTGGTTTGTATAAAAATATATCATGAATATTAATATTCAAAACACTTTTTTCTTTAATACTTCTTTTTATTTTCTTACTTTTTTTATCAACAAAATTATCTTTTCTTTTATATCTTCTATAATCATCTTTATTTATTATATCTTTTGGCTTACTATATTCTACTTTATCACCCATTTTATATTTTATCTTTCCAACTAAACTTTCACTCTCACCAGTAGGTTCATTATGATTAGGTATTGGACCTTCTCTTTGTAAAACTAAGTTTGAATTCATACGATATTCAAACCTTTTAAACTTTTCATATTCCTCCGCCATTTTGTTTTTTACAAAAAGAAATTATAAAACTATTTCAATTCTCTCAAAAAAAAAAAAAAAAAAAAAATTAAAATAAAAATAAAAACATATATGCCTCTTTATTATTTTCAGATATATTTTTTTTTTTTTCTTTTTTTATATTTGCATGAAATATTAATTTATTAAATACATATTAATAATAAATTGTTCTAAAAATTATTTCTGTTCTCGTAAAATGGCTTTTCTTTAAAAACAAAAATTGTTTCTTCATAAATCATTTTTTTTTATCTCTTTTCAATTAAAAATAATAATGAGTAAAATTTATTATGCCAACTGCTAAAATATTTTCCTTTTATCTATTTGTAATTATATTAAAAACTTATACTATTCTTTTTTTTTTTTTTTTTTTAATTTACAATATTACCTACAAATGTGACTGTGTATATTTTTATTTATATAAAATTATTTCAACACAAAAAGATTAATATCATTTCATTTTTTGTACCACAAAAAAAAAAAATAAAATAAAATATAAAACATGAAAAAATAATAATTCAAAAAAAAAAAAAAAAAAAATAAAAGAATAAGAATAAAAATATAAATAAAAATTTAAAAAAAAGTAAAATAAATAAAAATAAATATTAAAAACAAAGAAAATTATGATATAAAGTGATATAGAAAAAAAAATATATGTTTATCAATTTTAATTAAAAATATTTGATTTTGTTAGAAAAAAAAAAAAAAAAAAAAATCTTCGTCAAATACAAAATTTACACTAAAATTGAAATTTTTTTTTTTTTTTTTATAATCCAGAAAAAATAAAAATAAATGTGATCAAACTAGAAAACAAAAAAAAAAAAAAAAATACTTTTATATTTAAAAATAGTAAATACTATTTTTTTTTATCTAAAGTATAAATGTTATTATTTTTTTAAATATTTCACAAATTATTATTATTATTATTATTACTATTATTATTATTAACAAATTGTTTTGATTTTTATTCCTTTTTTTGTCATATGTTGATAATACATATATGTTATCAATTTTAATTATAACAAAAACAAAATAAATTTAAAATAAATAAAATAAGTTTCCTTTTTTAAAAAAAATGAATAAAAATATATACAACTGCTCTAAATGAAGAACATTCAATGAATTAAAGTTTTCTGATTATTATTTTATGTTTACCTAATTAAAACAATAACCACACCAATGAATTTTTATTTATACTATTTATTCACGTAATTAAATTATATATAAAAATGAGTATTTTTTAAAACATCATTTTTAATCAAATTTTTTTTAAAGAAAATAAAAGTTAATTTTTATTCATCTTAAGAAATTTATAATTTATTATAAATACATAATTTATTAATAAAATGATTTGTTGTTATTATTTTTTTTTTCCCTTTTTTAATTAAATAAGCTTTACTTTTCATTATTTATCTAAGAATATTATAATTATTATATATGAAAAAATTTTTTAATAAATTAAAATTTTACATATATATGTCTATACTTGTTTTCTTCCATTCCACAATATATAGTTTTTAAAAAAATTGAAAGCATAAAGGATAAAAAAAAAAAAAAAAAAAAAAGTATATATGATACCAATATATAATAAATATTTTTTATTTAATTTTTAAGCAATAGTAATAATTTTATTTTAAAAATGTGAAACTTTCTTGGTTTTTCTTCTTTTAGAATTATATATATAAATATATGTGTATATATAAGTATGTAAATGTTATTTTTTTTTTTTTTATTTTTTTAACATATATATTTATTATTAATAATTATTAATTTTACGATAATGATAAGGAAATTGCATTTTTTTTTTTTTTTTTTTTTTTTAAATGAAAACATATATTTAAAACTTACATAGCATATATATTTTTTAATTATTTTATTCTTTATCTAATTTATATACTTTTTTGTTGATATATCTAGCAAAGTTATTTATGGCATTTTCTCCTTTTGTTGTTAATCTTCTTCCTTTTTTCTTTGGGTTTTGTTCTACATAACCTATATTCTCAAATTGTTGTAAAATGGATCTTAAAATTTTTCCACTTGCTAAACTTGTATGATTAGGTGCAACTCCTCTCCTTTGCTTATAACTGAATTGCCTTCTCAAATGTCCAATTCCTATATCTGGATGTAAATATAATCTTCTTAATATACTTGAAGCTTTAATAAAATACCAATCTTCATTTAAAGGGGCTAATTTTCTTCCTTTACCAGTTTTAACAAAATTACACCATTTAGGAAATGTTATTTTATTATGTAATTTTAAATAATTTGCATAAGATTTAATAAATAATTCTGCATCTACATCTTTTATACAATTATTTGTCCTTACAAAAGGAATTGGTTCTAATAACCTTTTGTTTACTGTAACTATTTCTTCAGTAAATTCTTCTGCCTAAAAAAAAAAAAAAAAAAAATCAATATTCAAATATTCAAACATTTATATATATATATATATATATATAAGGGCATTCTATTTTACGCACGTAAATTAATATATTATAAATATATAATATAAAACAATTAAAAATAAGAACATTATAAAAAAAAGAAACAACTCATAAAAATAAATATTATTAAATAATTATAAAAATACAAAGATATTCATTTATCTTTTCTTATTTCATTTTAATATTCTTAAGAATATAAATATGTAACAATATATAAATGTATACATTAAAAGAAAATATATATATATACTGAAAAAAAAAAATAATAAAAAAGAAATACAATTATGTAAATGTATAAAAAAAAAAAAAAAAAATATATAGATATAATTATATATTTTTGTATATATTTTTTTTTATTTTTAAGAAATTACCATGTTTTACTTAATCTCATAAAATAAAATAAAAAGGTTAATAAATCAATATTTAATTATATTTGATGATTTTTTAATACTACATGGAAATTTTTTTTTTTTTTAATTTTAAAAAAAAAATTATGAATTTATGCTTTTATAAAAAGTAATTTTTATAAATTATATCTGCAAAATAAAAATTTATAGATTTAAGTTTTTTTTTTTTTTTTTTTTTTTTTTTTTTTTTTTTTTTTGTATGCAAAGGAACAAGTAAAAAAATATATTTTTTTTAAATAACACTTTTGTGCTACAATCAACTAAAGAATTATATAATAAGTAAAGCTTTTTATTTTTTTTTTTATATTTTATTTAACTATTCTTTATTTATTTTAAAAATAAAGATAAAAGTTCTTTTTTCTTAAAATTTTTATTTATTAATTAGCATTTTAAATTGATACATACAAAAAAAATCAGTAAAAAACCCCTCATAACTCCACAGCACAAATATAATTTTTACCTTCACATTTAAAAGTTTTTGTGTTATAAATTTTAGTAAAATAAAAGCTTTTAATAATAAAAATGAAAAATAAAAAGATATAATTAAAATTTATAATTTATTTTTTATGTTTTCATTTTTTATTTTCTCAATACTGAATCATTATACCCTGTGTAATGTAAAAAGAGAATAGTTAAAATGTAATAAAACGTAGTACTCTATTTTTCAAAGAAAAATCCTTTTCTATATATATAATATTAATAACGGTGCTTATGTTAATTTTATATATTTAAAAATATTCCATAAATAATAATAATATAAATATATTTTAAATAAATTCCCTTTTTTTTATATAAACATTTGGAGTAATAATAACTTATTGTTCCTTTTAAAAAATTCATTTATACTTTATTTTAATCATATAGATATTATTCTATTATTTAAAATACATAGGATATTCTAAAAACGCTAATATAAAAAAAAAAAAAAGAGAAAAAAAAAAACGTAAAGATCGCTATAAATTATGCATGTTTATCATTGTTATTATTTTATTAATATATATTACTGTTGACATAAATATTTTTTCCATTTTATATATTTATAAATTAAAAGAGAAAAAATAAAAATTAACAAGGTTATTAATAAACTATATATTAAAGAATATTATTTTTAATCTACAAAAAAGATAGTAATAAAATAGAGAAATAAGGAATTTCAATAATATTTAGCAAATAAAATAGTAACGATAACTTTATATAAAAGTGTAAAAATAAGTTTGCATTTGTTCGTTAGACTAATTTATACTCTTTAAAAAAATAAAAAAAAAATTTAGTCATTATGTCATAATATTAGAAGTGTACATATTCTTTTAAAAAAAAATTTGAAAATTATGTCAAAATATTGAATCATTTAAATTGGTTATTAATTGTATTTTATATATTTATTTATTACTTTGTTTTTATCTATTTTTTTTTTACAACTATTTTATATAAATTCTTTTTTTTTTTTTTTTTTTTTTTTTATGATACTGTTTATGTATCATAAAGAATAATTTATATATATATATATATATATATGTATATAAATTCTTTAAGTGTATCTTTTTAAAGTTACAAAAATATTATATATAAAATTTGTGTAAAGATGTTAAAAATATATTTATGATATAAATAATAAATATAATATGAAGAAATGATATAGTTTATTCATATCCTTCATCTTCTCCTTCACCCTCATTTGATTCAATACCAACTTCTTCATAGTCTTTTTCTAAGGCAGCTAAATCTTCTCTTGCTTCACTAAACTCCCCTTCCTCCATTCCTTCTCCCACATACCAATGAACAAAAGCTCTTTTTGCATACATTAAATCAAATTTTTGATCCATTCTTGAAAACACTTCAGCAATAGCGGTAGAATTACTAATCATACAAACTGCTCTCATAACTTTTGCTAAATCACCTCCTGGAACAACAGTAGGTGGTTGATAATTAATACCACATTTAAATCCAGTAGGACACCAATCAACAAATTGAATTGATCTCTTTGTTTTTATAGTAGCAACAGCTGCATTTACATCTTTTGGTACGACATCTCCTCTGTACATTAAACAACAAGCCATATATTTACCATGTCTAGGATCACATTTAGCCATCATAGAAGCAGGTTCGAATGCTGAATTAGTTATTTCTGATACTGATAATTGTTCGTGATATGCTTTTTCTGCACTTATAATAGGAGCATAAGATGAAAGCATAAAATGAATTCGAGGATAAGGTACTAAATTAGTTTGAAATTCTGTTACATCAACATTTAATGCACCATCAAATCTTAATGATGCAGTTAAAGATGAAATAACTTGGGCTATAAGCCTATTTAAATTAGTATAAGTTGGTCTTTCTATATCTAAATTTTTTTTACATATATCATAAATAGCTTCATTATCAAGCATAATAGCAACATCAGTATGTTCCAATAAAGAATGTGTTGATAAAACTGAGTTATATGGTTCAACTACAGCAGTGGATACTTGAGGAGATGGCCAAGAACAAAAATTTAATTTGGATTTTTTTCCATAATCAATTGCTAGTCTTTCTAATAATAAACATCCAAGACCACTTCCTGTTCCTCCTCCTACTGCATTAAACATTAAAAATCCTTGTAATCCTGTACAATTATCAGCTAATTTTCTGACTCTATCTAAACATATATCAACAATTTCTTTGCCTATAGTATAATGTCCTCTAGCAAAATTATTTGCTGCATCTTCCTTTCCTGATATTAATTGTTCAGGATGAAATAATTGACGATAAGTTCCAGTTCTTACTTCATCAACAACAGTGGGTTCCAAATCAACAAATACACAACGTGGGACCTAAAAAAAAAAATATTAACATAAGTATATATATATATATTTTAAATATTTAATAAATTGAGTTTATTATAATAAAATAATTATAATTTCTAAATAGTTTTTTTTTTTCTATCAAAATTGCAAAAAAAATATAAATGTAGTTTATTTTGAATTAAAAATATATTTTTACATGTTTTCCTGCTCCTGTTTCTGAAAAAAATGTGTTGAATGCATCATCTCCTCCTGCTACTACCTGATCACTTGGCATCTGACCATCTGGTTGAATTCCATGTTCTAAACAAAATAATTCCCTAACAAATTTAAAAAATATACAAATATATATAAATTTAAATAGAAAAAATATATATATATATATATATATATATATGTTAACTTTTATTTTTTATATTAATTATAGTAAAATATAATTGTAATGATATTATATCTACTCACATAATAAAAAATTAATATTTTATTCAATGACTTGATATGTTTTTATTTATTTTTTTTCTAATTATTACCAGCAAGCATTTCCTATTTGAATACCTGCCTGACCTACATGTATGCTAATAACTTCTCTCATTTTTAGATATATTAAACTAAATTAAAAATATAAAGAATAATAAAACAAAATAATTTACTTTTTTATAAAAATTAAGAATTCTATTAAATAGATAAGATAATAAAATTAAGAAAGAATAATAAATAATAATAAAATATACTTTAAATAAAAAGTTATATATATATATATTTATATAAATATATACATGTGTTTATATATATATAATATTTATTTAGTTAAAGTTTTGTATTTTTTTTTTTTTTAGTAATAATATTATTCCAAGTTATATGTTAATTCATGAAAAAATGTTTAAAAAAATGTTAAATATTTATTCTTTCTATTTTAAAGAAATATTTTATATTTCTTATATATATTGTTTATATTTATCATTTCTTTTCCCTTTTTTTTTTTTTTTTTATTATTTTATTATGTAAGAAACAATATTATTTAAAATCTATAAATATTATTAATTTTTTTAAATAACATACATATTATTACTGTTATGAAAAAAAAAAAATAAATAAATAAATATAATATATATTAGTCAGTATATCTAATTATATATTGTTATAATAATTAATGAGTATAGCTCAAAAATAAAATAAAGACAGATTCAAATTTTTAGTTAATAAATCTATATGAACCCATTAATTTTTATTTTTTTGAATATATTCATTTAACAAATTCGTAAATAATAAAAAAAAAAAAAAAAAAAAAAAGCAAAAAGAAAAACTTATGTAAATATAATATATATATAATAATTATCTAATAAAAAAAAATGAAATATATATATTCCTTAGGTTTAAATGTGAAGAGACAAATAAATAGAAAACCACGTTATTTTAAAAAAAAAAAATATATTTATATATTTTTTTGCACACTTATATTTCTTAAAGACAATAATACAAAGCAAAACTTTATTTGCTAATTTTTTATTTTAATTTTAGGTTATATTATCCTTAAATTATTTAAATATAAAAAAAAAAAAAAAACAAAGAAAAAAGAAAATGAAAAAGAGAAGATAAAAAAAAAAAGAAAAAGAATAATGAAAAAAAAATATTGAAAGAAAGAAAAAGAAAAAGAAAAAAACATATATTTGTACTCCTAAAAAAGGAAACTATTTTAACATACTCTTTATATATATATATTATTTTAAATAAATATAATATATAGATTCAACTCTTTTACTTCTAAGTAAAAATAGGATTTTTTTAAAAAATAAAAAAAGAATGCACAAGTATATTAAGGATAAAATATTTCATATATTTCGACACATATACATGCAAAATAACTTCTTTCAGATTTCAATATTTCAAAACTTTATTTGTGAAAAGTAAAAAATTTTATATTTTCATGGAAAAAATTATTCTTTTTATTATACTTATGGTTTTTCATTTTTTTTATTTAGAACTTTTTTTTTTTTTTTTTTATAATTTTTTATGAATAATAAAAGCAAATACATTTTATTATATGCAAATACATTTTCTTTTTTATTACCATTTAATCTATTAATAACAAAATATTTTTACACATTTTTATAAGGAGAAATATAAATACTATTTAGTATATGGGAAAGAGAAAAAAAAAAAAAAAAAAAAAGAATTGAAGTTGGTAATATTATATTTAAATAAAAAGCTCTAGTATAATAAATTTTTAAAATTTTACTTAGAAAATACAAGAAAATACATGTTTTAAATTTATAATTAAAGATTATTGTAATTTAAAATAAAATTAAAAAAAAGTGAAAAAAAAGAAAAACTGAAATATAAATAGAATAATTAAAAGTTATTAATAAAACAGTTATTCTAAAATAAAAATTTGAATATTTTTTTTTCTATTAAAACAATAAAAAGAAGCCTATATACATTTTTTTTTATAAGTATTATTTTTAATATTTAAAATATATAAGTATTTTTGTATATTTTTCTTTTTTATATATTAAAAAAGAAATTTTTCAAAAAAAAAATACAAATTCTTTTTTATATTAATTATTCTACTTTAAAGAAAGGTTAAATAAAAAATAAATTATGATTATATGATTTGAAACATTTTGTTTATTTTTTTCGTTTTCATTCTACATTTTATCATATTACTATATCTTGTTTCTTCATCAGTAGGTTAATAAAACTTACATTGTAATATATTAAATTTAATCTTACCATATTTTGTAAAATAAATGGTACTAAAGAATAAAACATATAAGTAAAAATTAATTTAAAAAAAAAAGTGAATAAGTCTTTTTAGAAAAAATAAAATTTCTAATAATTCGAATATATAGATAAGTTATAAAAAAGAAATTCTATACATATGAGATACTAATAAAATTACACATTTTTTTAACTCATATATTTCTATTACCTTTAAGTGTATTCTCAACTTTTTTGCAAGTTTTTATTTTATAATTTATTTAAAATTGGGAATAGATATACTAATGTCACTTATTTTTTCCTTTTTTTTTTTTTCATAAAGTTTTATTCTCCATATGTTGTATATACATAAAACTTATATATAATGTACTTTTTGTAACTCGAAAAATTTTTAAATTTAAACATAAAATTTATGAGTTAAATAATTAAGAGATTAATATAATTATTTCCCTAAAAAGAAATTTGAAGTTTCTCACTTATTATTAATTCAATATCATTAAGAACAATAGACTTTTTTTTATTTATTCAATAAAAATGAATTTTTCTAGAATTTATTTAAAAAAAAAAAAAAATGAGTTCATTATTTTTTCATTCATCTTTTTATGTTTTATAAGAAGAAATGAGATGAAAATTTTTTTTTTTTTTTTTTTTTTTGTTTATAAAATGTAAGAATTAAAATTGATTTATAACTTCTATTATTAATTTATAATTTTTTTATAACTGTAATAGACTTTAAAATATAAAATATAAGATCTAACATTCTTCTTAAGAACATAAAAAAACACTTATTTTATGTGTGTGCTTCACATTTTTTATTTTTTCTTTTATTTTTTTTGTATGATAAAAACTACAGTTGAGCGTTAAGTTTTAATATCCTAATTAAAATAGTAAGTACTTTTTTATTGATGCTTTATTAAAATTCTCTTTTATAAATGTATATTCATATTTTATTTTACTTTTTTTTTTTAAAGTAAGAATTTTCCTTTTTTTATGTAATAATTAAAAAAAAATTATGAAACATTTATTAAATGCAATAAAAGTAATAAAAGATTGTTGTACCAGAAGAGAAGAATTAGAGGAATCTAATTATAAACAATTGTTAGATTTGCTACCATTAAGTGAATCTTATGAAATTGTTAATGAAAGAAATTTGCATATCTTAAAAAAAGACATTCCTTTATCTAACATTAAACTTAAATTATTTGACAAAAATAAAAACAGACAAAATATTTTAAATACAAATGTAAAAATTACAGAAGAAAGTTGGAAAAAAGAGGACTCTGAAAATGAAAGTTTTATCAAAAATAGACATGAAGATTTATTATATAAAAAAAAAAAATTAAATAGCAGTATAATACAAGAAAACTTTTTATATGATATAGATAAAAATAATGAAAATTGTTCTAATAGTATTATAAAAGAGAATGTAATTAAAAATTTAAAAGAAAAAGAAGTGAGTAGTAACATATATTGTGCTCATGGAAAACTGAGTGATAGAAATGCAGTAGAAAAAAATTTTAAACTAAAAAAAATTGAAATTATACCAAAGTTTGAAAAAAAGGAAAATATAATGAATTCTTTTTCTGTAGTTTGTATGAGAGGAAATCAAAATGAGTATTATAAATCAAAAAATAATAATGATTACATATATTTTAATAATTATGAACAATATTTTTTTATCCAAGCTTATGAGTTAAAAATTGCAGGAATTATTTCAGGTACAGGTAAAAATAGTGTAAGTGTGTGTGACAATATTGTTTTTCATTTATTAAAAACAATATTGAGAAATTTAAAAAATGTTTATGAAAATAAAAGAAATATTTGGTTATCTGACCAAATCGAATATATATTATTATCATCAATAAATGATACAAATAATTATATAAAAATAAATTTACAAGAATCGTTTAATTCTGGTTGTTCTTTGTGTGTTTGTGCTTACTCAAAGAAACATGAACTTTTAACAATACTTAATATTGGAAATATACAAACAATTCTAGTTAAAAATATTGATGGAAAAAAGAAAGAAGATACAAAAAATCATCATATTAGTAATGCACTCTATGAAACAATATTAATTACAAAAAAACATGATGTTTTAAATAAAGAAGAAAAAGAAAGAATACTTTCCTATGGGTGTATAATAAATGACGATTCAGAAAATGAAAATAAAAATACATGGAAAAATATAGATTATTTAAATAAATTTAATGAAAAAAATGATTTAAAAACTTTAAATATAACAAAAGCAATAGGTTTATTTAATTTCAGTAATTATGGTTTATCAAATATTCCAGATATTATTGATATTAAATTAAATATTCACACAAGTGGATTCCTAATATTAGTTAGTCATACAATAAGTCAAGTATATAATTCACATAATTTAGTTGAATTTCTTTTTAACAAATCCAATAATAATTCTTTATTCGAATCATCTAAAAAATTAATACATAATGTCCACTCTGTTTATATGTCTACTGAAAATAGTAATATAAAAGATATGACTATTATTATTTTGCCTTTAATAGATTAGTATTTATTACTTTCTTTTTACAATTTACCTAATTCACATACATATACATATATGTGTATATTTGTATGTTTTTTAGAAATTTATATTAAATTAGAACTGAATTGAATTTACCCTTAAAAAAAAAAAAAAAAAAAAATATATTTTATCTAATGAACTATACATATCATACATAAAATTATGTTTTTACTTTTTTTTTTTTTCTTAAATATATACTATTATTAATTACATTATCCTGTATTTATACTAAAATTTCTACAATATTTTACTTATTTAGACTTAATTTTAAATATAAATATCATCTTTTTATAATTTTATTTTTTAATAAATTGTAAAAACAGCTAAAATTTATTATCATTATCTTTGTTATTAATACAACATTAAAAAAAATTAAATATCATATTTTAATATATTTTTCCATTTAAAATATATAAAATAAATAATATTAAGAACAATGTTAATAAAAATAAGTCTTCTAAAAATACCAGTTTGAAAAATGCTATTCTCAGATAATAGTGTATTTAAAAAATGATGTGAAAAAGAATTAAACATGAAATAAAAAAAAAAAAAAAAATCAAAAAAATTCTAAATTAATTATTTTATAAAAATTACATTAAAAAACTGAGCTTCTATTATTATTATGATTCTTTTAATTCACCAGATTTTACTTTTATGGTGTTTATCTTCATATGATATAATACATTTAACTTTAAAAAAAAAAAATGTATCTATATGAGTTCTTCTATGAACTTATTAAATTATATTAATGAAAAAATGTAACTTTTAAAGAAAACTTCTTTTTTATTTATTTATTTTTTTTTAAATTGATATTTAAGAATTTTTTTAACAATAAAAGTAAATAAAATTATATAAGGAAACTATTAACAATTTTTTTTAATATTCTAATTATCTTTATTATACTCACTTTTCTTTTTAATATTTTTTTCCCTTCAATTATTTTTGTTGTTTTAATTTATTACTTTTTTTTTTTTTTTTTTTTTAGTTTGTTTTTAAATATATCAA